CCCTTCCCTGATCAGCTATGGCTTAAACCCTGCTAAACAGGTATAAATGGACTTAATGATTTTCATACTTTAAACCAAAAATCTTTATAACGACAAAACCATCAGCTAAAGGAAGCCTCAAACTCCAAATATCCAAGGTCTATGGAGGCCAAAAATGCCACACGAGGGCGCTCGAAATCAGTTTAGTATGTCTAGCGAAACATTCGTAAGCTCTTGGTGGATTGCATTTTTAAGAACATTAACGTTAGGTAACGTATGACTAAAACGATGAGCTTTCAAATATCGCCTCAGTCTGCCTCAGTAAGATCCAGAGAAGTATATGAAAGCCATTAAATGTTACCAAACTGAGAAAGATTCTCAAGGAGACTGCTGATGATCAACAGTTTCAGTAGAATTTTACCATTGGCCAACAGATTTGCTAAAATTCAATTTTAAAATATCTATAATGCATTTCTCCACACCGGTAACCTATTGTTTAATTACAAATAACCCTCAACCTGTAGCTCACTGGTTAATATCATGAGAGCTGATGCCCAGCACTTTTGCGTATGTTGGTATTCTTCGATTTAATTTTAATATATGATTAAATTTAATGCACTGCTCCACATTGGTGAACTATGAATTTATCACCAATTAACATTATCTTTTAGGTTACCAGTGATCTTTAGCCTTTCCTCGTACTTCGATTTAATTTTAACTGAAAAACTATCCTTCAAAACATTTACATCACCTAATCCTGGGGACGCAGGAGTTGATCCAAAGCGATTATGATCCTGTTTACCGCCGATAATCAACAGCTGTGATTGGTGCTAGCATTCTTCGACTTAATTTTGGCATCATAAGTATTCTTTGCCATCATAAGTCTTTCATAATTTCCGTGTCATGAATGTCCTATTTCTAAACATTTTAGATTATTACGTTGTGTTATGCTTCTATGACATAATTCTTTTCAAAAACGATATCTTTTTCTATTAAAAATGTTTCTAAGGTTGAAAATGGTGAAATGTAAATTTCTAAGGTTGAAAATGGTGAAACGTTTCTCTTTTTTACCCAACTAACCCACTAACCAAGTTTCCCTTCATAGCCCTTTACTTCCTAATGGGCATTAAGAAGAGCAAAACAATTACCTTCCAAACAGAGATTTAGTTTGTTTAGCTTTGAGAATACATCTGAGAGATATGCCAGTTTAGTTAGCGACATTGATCACCAAGAAATTATATAAAATCTTGTTCATTTCATTTAGAAATAACAAGACAATTTTGCGACATTGATCACCAAGAAATTATATAAAATTGTGTTCATTTCATTTAGAAATAACAAGACAATTTTGCGACATTGATCACCAAATTATATAAAATCTTGTTCATTTCATTTAGAAATAACAAGACAATTTAGTAAGCTGCCAGGATCATTTGTGGTCAGCAGACAACAGTTTGGGAAACTTCAACTTAACAGATTGACAAATTTAAAATCCATAAACGCAGTTCTTAATAGCCTAATCTTTATTTTATTTTACAATAATATATGTAATTATTACAAAATACTTTAAAATATAATATTGTTACTAATTAAAAAATTTTCTACTGTCATGTATTCTGAACTGAAAGAAAATAGTTAGTTTGATCTATTCTAATTTTTTACTAATACAGCTTCTAATGGAATCTCAACACATAATTTTTAAATTCTTAATTCTAATACATCCAGCAAGCTCTCTTTACTTTTTTTCATTGAAAATAATCGATAAATGGCTTTCATTTGAAACTTAAACAAAATTCCGACTATATGAATTTCTAAGTTAAAGACTTGTTTGAATAATTTCAGCTAGAAATTCTCTTCCTCTTGTTGAAAAGGATGTACACCATTCAAAGGTTAAAATGATGTTCCTTTTCATATAAACTCCTTGTACATGAGGAATGACGTGACATTTGATAGAAATCTAAGATTTTAAACCTAAATACATAAACGTGTTCTTTATTTTCATAATAACACAACAGAGGTGCAATCCGTTGTATCAGTCACAATTCACGGAGCGAGCAGAAAAATATATGTAAATGATATGTAAATATAAGCAGCTATGTATGTTCTTGTGCAATATAAAATAGAAACTTTTCACTCCTAGCAACACAATAAATCAAGCAGAAATGACTACAGACAAAACTCCATCGCACGATCTGAATATCTTTCTCAATAAATTTGAAAAGCGTCATATTTAAAAGTCGAAAGATTTTCAGTTTAGATGGCTCCAACAGCTTTTCGCATTATTTTCACGGAAATAAAGATGAACTGCTTTTGAGTCAAAGGTAACACGAAAGTAAAATAAAGTGTTTTATTGCAGAAAAACCATATATTTTCATAAACATTCTAAAATAAATTCTAGGTAGTCAAAGTAAGCATTCAGAGCTTATGTCAACACTGTTAGGTTTTCCTATTTTGACCTGTGATGTACTCAGAGATTTATGAATATTATATTTCAGCAATACACTTATGAATAAAGGAATGGCATTCAGTATGTAACATCTGACGAATAATTCTATTGTTCTAAATTTCTGTCAATATTTCTATCTATTTAATTGTATCATTCTTTTTGTGTATTGCTATCATGTTTTGCCTTCTGTTTTTTTTATTTATTTGTTTAATTTTTTGCCTTTAATAGAATAGTTTTTAGGTTTTATTTTATGCGTAGTGGAATTTAGTGTCACATGTTTTATATTATGCGTGCTTATTTAAAACTGTAGATTTTTCAGTTCTGAATCAAACAGCGTTTAGATTGATAAAATGGCTGAAATAGATAGCGAGATTATGGTAAAAAGGCTCTTAACAGACCTTGAAGACAGTTTTGGGGGCCACACTGGTCATATCTGTCGATTTCTCACAAATGTGACAACTTTTCGGAATTTCGGACGCATTTTAGAAGCTCTAACGGCCAGTTTTTCTAGAATATTCAAGAACCCTCTAAAACACTGTATTAATGCGGCTTCTACCGCTAGAGATCAATCAGTTTTTTGATCAGGTCAGAAAAAGTTCAGAGAGATCCACGATGTGCTTAAAAATTTTGAGGAAACTCAAATATGATATTTAATTATGAATGTTAATAAATGACTAACAACGAAACAAAAACACAGCTTGAAAAATGTGGCAATTTTTTAAAAAAACCTGCTATAAATTTTATCAGTTATCAGGTTTATTGCTCATTTTCATTTCACATTTATTGTTCATTTCGCATGTTCTTTAGAGGAACGTTACTCAACCGTTTTCCGCGAAACAGTTACTAATTTCTAGGAAAAATTATAAAACTAAGGTTACAGGATAACAAAACGCTGTTGTCTTTCATAGGTGTTTATATATTTAATACAGTTTCAAAAAGTCATAAAAGAAATTTAAAGAGGTAACATAATTTTATGTTGTAATGTGGTCTAAATCATGAGGGTAATAAGTTTAATAATGTAGCTTGACAAAATGGATTATCAGAAATACATGCCAGAATTCCCTTCTGCTAGAGTTTCTCTGCTAGTGCTCTGTGTTCAGAAGTAAAGAAGTGGTTCAGTGTCATTTAAGTCTTTTAAAAGGGGTTTTCTTTGGTCTTTTTCTTTTATCTTTTTTCTTTTTATTTTATCTTCTCTTTGAAGCTAGAAAACGTATTTCTAGAAAACATGATTTTCACATTACGCGGCAACAAAATCCAAATACATAAACCGATTTCAGAAGCATTCGAATTCCTAACACTGTGCTTGATATTGAAAGGATTAAATTTCGAAGGCTCAAATATAGTGAAGTCATTGAAAACTAAAAGCGTTTTGTTTTCTTTTACGTAGTATTTGCTTTACTTAATTAGTTTTAGGAGTAATTTTTTGTAAAATTAAAAACTGAAAAATTTATAAATTTAATGTCAAAATTGTTTATTTTTTATCTAACAGAAGCATCATATGTGGTATATTAATAGGACATATGACAAATCCTTCATAATATTGATATTAATGTAATTAAAATCAAAATTATGCTAAATTTGGTCTCCAATAGTATATCACATATCCTGCTCATTATAAGCATTTTATCCCTTATTAAAGCACTTTCGAAATTTGATACTAACTTTTAGTACATTTTAATAAAAAACAATTTAAAAAGATTAAAATAAACATAAAAGCAGTGTAATTTTTAAATACTTTTTACACCCCAAAAATCAAACAACCCAAATAATACTAGACACTAGAAGAAAGAAAATAATATATATTTTGTAACGAATTCGGAAGATTTTGAAAAATGTACAAAAATTTCGATATGATACAGTGCTATCATTTATCATAATTAAAAACCCAAATTTACTCTTCCTTAAAACCTTTAGAGCTTTAAAAGTGTTCCGCTATCAGAAATGTTTCAGAAACACTGCGAGTAAAGCTGGAAAACCTATGCTCTTTAAATTCATGTGAACATTTGGATTTTATATGCTTTGTAAGGCTGTAGTCTCAAACAGCCGGCACTCGAGCCGGCTATTTGAGGTTCACAAAATAAGTTCCGCAAATATATTTTCTATTATTAATTAACATTACTATGACAAGAACTTGAAGATGAAGTTTAATATTTTAATAATTTAGAGTCCGATTTTACATTTTTTTTTCATTACCATTAAAACCAAACTTTAATAACATTCTATAAGAGGTGTCAGTATAAGTGCAGCACTTAAAATCTGTAAGTGGAGGCAATTAATTTATATTGTGATATAAATCTTATTCAAAATTTGAAGATACATGTTCTATTCACTTTTAACCGTACTTGTCAGAAATGCAGGGTGTTTATAAAGTCTCTATACATTTTTTAGTAATATGGTCTAATTCTAGTTTCTTTGGAAGCGATCTAAAAGAACGCTGTCAACAGAGGAAAGAATAGCCATTCTTTGTGCCTGTACACGTGGATTAAAGTATCAACAGGTGCAGAAGGACCTCGCCCGCAAATTCAGAAAATAAGCCTGTACCAGAACAGCTTTTAAAACACTGATAAACAAATTCATGCGAACTGGTTGTGTTAAAGATGAAGACCGTTCTGGGAGACCTTCGATAATTCCACAAGTTGAGCAATGCATACAAGAAGCGATTACGCGTAGCCCCTATGCATCTACACGAAGACTTGGCCGGGAACTAGGTATTTCGCATACTACTGCTTCGAAAACTCTACGCTGTTATTTAAAGAAGGATGTCTACCCCATTCAAAGTGTGCATAACCTTGAAGCTGAGGACTATGCAGCTCGGCAAGTCATGTGTTATGATTTGTTGGAAGCTGTGGAGAATGAGAACTTAATGGAGAATGTTCTCTTTAGTGACGAAGCCACATTCCATCTCAACGGCCCCTTTAATAAGCATAATTGCCAAATGAGAGCTGATAAACAACCAAACATGTTATACGAACCTCAAGGAGACACACCTAAAGTTAATTATGGATTTGAATAATTAAGTCTAAGCTCTGTGTACCTTTCATGTTTTCAAGAAAGACCGTAACTGGAGAAATTTATCCCGATATGTTGCAACAATATCTTCAGCCAGAGCTAGTATCAGATGGCAATATTGACACTGTTGTCTACCAACAGGATGGAACTAAAGACTGGCAGTATTGAACAATTCAAACAGCGAACCATGACAGCTGAAATTACACCAATAGTTTTACATAAGGTGTTCTGGAGTGTAGTTGAATGGTGGCAAGTGTGCTTAGACACCCAAGGTGGCCACATTTAATTGTACTAATTTAGTGTTCTGTTATGTTGCACTTTCATGGAAATAACTTTCAAAATAAAGCCTGTTTAACCAAAAATTTGTAGAGACTTTATAACCACTCTGTATAAACGGCTTCAGTTACGAGTTTTTGCAATAAAAGTAAGAGTTTTTGCAATAAAAGTAATCTCTTTGTTTATAAGTAGATTTATATTCCAATATATTCTTTTAGCTCAAAGGGGCGTTAACCCAGAAAGGCTGTTAATCTCGAAACGGCATTTTGCGTCAGTTATCCGTTTCACTTTTAAATTTGTTGCTACCAAATATTATGGCCCTGTATATGCGTATGTTTCTGGCAACGTAGTTCTTCACCCGATTGAGTAACTAAAAGTCGGAATTCGGAATTTGTTTTATTGCTTATCAGTTCAGTTCCATACATTACATAAATTCTCAAATGATTTTCTAGTTGTGTACATTCTTGTGTGGATAAATAATAATTAAATCAATTCAACAAATTGTGTAAAAATGTAAATTATACTTGAATTCAAAAAATTTTTGTTACGAGTATTTTACAGTAAATCATTTCATAATCTATTAAGATACTATCAATAACTGACTTCATTAAATCAGTTTCCATTTCCAGTATCCTAATCTTTTTCGTATATCGAATGTAAACCACGAAATTTTTGCCTTTTAGGATCTTCTGCTCTTGCAAGTTTGGTTATTTCAAAGAATGTTTTCTAACTCATCGATAAGAAAACTCAATTTTTCACCATCGATTATTAAATCATCCCATTCGATCTCCAAGTGACGGCGTCATTGCCCGAAGAATTCTGAAAAGAACCGTTTCTTCCCGGAGGCATCATTCCGGTGGCGAACCGATTTATCACGGCGAATAATTTCCAAACATCTCCCACTCAATTTTTTGTCATTTCTTTCCTTATATCGATTATCATTCTGAGCCGGCAGTACATGAAAAATCTACAGACTCTTTCAGTTTGTTTTCCCATTGGTTATCGAAGACAGTTTTTCATTTTAGACTTTTCATTATTTTTCCTTTTCAATCTCTGCATTCCGTATGTTGGATGTCATGCGATGCTAAAACTGGGAACGCCATCTTTGCCCACACACAGAATTAATGGATACATTGCATTCGTCAACTTACGATTAAATGAAAATGTGTTTTCTTATAAAATGCTTTCCATATTCCTGAAACGTTCAGAGTATCTTATTTAGATTTACTTTGTAATACGGTATTTACTCAATAACTTTTGCCTTTCGCATAATTTCCCACCTCTTTAGCTTTTTAGCACAAGATACTGAAAATTTTTAATCTTCAGATAATTTTGCCCTTCTTCAAGGCATTCAGCTTCCTTAAATCTTAAAATGGATTAATCCGTAGTTGCTTCACCTTACTGACTGATTTGCTCATGGATTTCTCATGCATGGACTCTGGTTGATGAAGCAAGTGCAGAGACCAAATAGTTAATGTTTTTTTATGATTAACTTAAAAACTAAACAGCTAATGCTTTTGATGATTTTGAAAATCACTGCACTGAAGACAAAACTGAAACGTGACGAAGACAATGACAACGTCTGAGAGATAGTTTGCAAGCTGTAGCAGATACCACTACAGCAATTGATTGTGGTGTGACACATACGGCTGTGCTGGTTTCTCGTAACCATTTTGGTCAAATCTTCGAAGCCTTTTTTAAAGTTATTTCACTCAATTTCAACAATAATGAGTAGGATTTCTGTTTTTAGTTCAAGAGCTGTTTATAGTCTGTTAGCTTAGACCTTGGATTTGATATACTCTAAATCCAAACATCACATGGCGTCAAGTCGCAAGAACTGTGCCGACAATTAACATCATAATTTCTGAAAATCACATGATCAAAAAAACGTTAAAACATTCTCTTAACAAGCCGATGGCTTCTTTTGTTGTATGACATGTGGTACCATTCTGTTGAAACGACATTTTTTGGGCGTATGTAACTTATCCCACAAAAGACTGGATATCACGTCATGATGTCGTACTTCATCTAAAGTTAGTTTGGCCGAGAACGACATAGTTATACTACATTTTTATTAACCTCGATAACTGCAGACAAAAAATGTCAAAGATTATGGTTGCCAAATTAAATATAAAAAAGGTGGAAAATTTAGTGCGGCGTTCGCGAGGGGCCTCCCTATTAAGCTTTGCATTTGTTTGTTTTACTTTTTACCCCTTTTCTTTCTTTCTTTCTTCCCCCCCCTTTTTTTTCCAAGTTTGAAAATTTGATTCATTTGCATTGAATCATTTGAATCATATTTTTAAGGCACCGTTTCATAAATGCTTCAAAAATATGAAATAGCCTGTTTTAGGATATGCTCTTATCAAATTCGATTCTTTTGCATTTAATTATACTTTTAGAATTGCGTTTCATAAATGCTTCAGAAACATAAAATAGCCTGTTCTGGGACATCCTCTTTTGAAATTATATTCATTCACATTGCCTTGCGTTCAGAACGCCATTTCATAAATGCTTAAAAAGCATGAAATACTAGCATGTTTTAGGACATCCTGTTTTCAAACTTGATTCATTCACATTGAATTACCCTTTTAAAACATCGTTTCATAATACTTTGAAAATATGAAGTAGCTGGTTTGGAGACATCCTCTTTTCAAATTTGACTCATTCCTATTAAATTACACTTTCAGAACATCGTTTCATAAATGCTTCAAAAGCATAAAATAATCTGTTTGGGGACATCACTGCGGACGTGTCATTTTTCACTTCCTCACCTGAAAAGAACGTCTCCATGTAACAACCCTTTTAACAATCAGCAATTAAAACATTCAGTTAAGAATACTTTGCAATTTGTTGAATGAATCTATCATGTTTCTACGCAAATAGCTTTCAAAAAGACATTTACATAAGGCTTCCTTAAGACGAAGGTTTTGTGAATTTTACAGGCATTAAGTGTGGAAAACAGGAGCTTTTGAAAATTTGGTATAAGAGTTGGTGCAATAGATCTTTTCCTATTCTCAGTAAGTATTTCGCAGAAGCGTTGAAGTTATATTGGCTTGAATATTATTAGATACAGAACAGTGGTTTTTCAATCTTTTTTCCCCATGCAACTCTTTTATCATTGCTAGAAGATTTTTCACCTCCTTTTCCAAAGTTGAAATTACATATATGCATTTTAATTAGATTATTTTCTAACTCGTTTTATAAATTAAACAACAAAAAGTACAGAAAATATTGGCAAATGCTAAAAATTGGTTAAAAGTAGTTTTTCAAATTCACAAACTCCCCCCCGACTAAATACTTAACAGCTAAATGAAAAGCTGTCTCCCCCTTTGAAACTATGAAATTCTCCCCCCCCCCCCGCCGCCCGGTGAGAACCTCTGGAATAGAATCTAGTATTAGAAATTGAAGTGTAAAGAAAAAGGGAAAACGAGAAAAGTAGGATAAGATATACAACCAGTCCTGAGAAAAAATACAAACATTTAATTATCTAAGATCCCATATTAAATATACATCATATCCTTGTTTCTTTGTATGTATCAAATCTACAAAATAAAAGTATTGTTCCCATACATTTTTTTTTCTTTCTTTTCTCCGTTTCTTCTCAATAGGTAGCGCCCTAAAGCGATTTTTGTTTAGTGTAACATAACCAGACCGCCGTGCAGGATATATGTTGCCGTTATGTTCCGTGTAGGTTTCCATTAGAAATATGGGGGCCGAGCTGTAATGTCGCTGAACCTGGTAGTTCGGTCCGAGGTTCGAATCCCGCGAACGGGCTGGCTGCATGGGTGTTTTCGCGGTTTTCCCCATTTGTAAGGTGTATACAAGCCCGTTTCCCTTAAAAAGTCCTCCACGAAGGCATCCCTGTATATATATATATACATATATAGGCTGCTTCAAAAAATGTATACACAGTTCAGTTTGAACTGTCGTAGAAAATTTAGTTTCCAACCGACAAGGCTAAATTTCTGGAAAAACTAGGGCTACAGTCCAATATGAAAAATAAGTATACTGTATGGCCAAACTGAATGTTAGAAATGGTGTTTAAGTAAATGTACAAAATGGTAGTCTTCAGTATCGATACAATGCTGAGTACGAGTCACGACTGATTCCTTATTTCACACCAAAGTGTCCAATGGGATTTCTGCGCACACCACTTGAATAACATCCCAAGGTGTGTCAAGATTACGTGGTCTACGATGTGCCGCATAAAATAATCGAGCGGCGTAAGGTCTGGAGATTAGTTCTCTGCGTCCTAGCTACTGATCTGGTATATTTTGATCTAGATATTCTCGCACATCCCTATAATAGTGCGAAGAGACACCATCTTGTTGTAATGAAACATGACTTTACCATATATTACAGAATATCAGGAAAATGGGATTAGCTAACATTGTTAGATACTTTGCTCCAATTACATAACCTTCAAAACGGAAAGGTCCACCAATGATTACCCTAAGAGACAAACCACACTACATTTTTGCACCAGGCAAATCCATAGCAGTTTTAACACAATGCGAGATATTTTCAATCCACTACACGCGATTATGCCTATTGACAATCCTATTAAGTTTAAACCACGTAACCTTGACACACTTTGGGATGAGATTCAAGCGATGTGCACAGAAATCCTATTGGACACTGGTGCAAAGTACGGAATCAGTCCTGACTCGTAGTCAGAAATGTATCGATGCTGAAGATTACTGTCTGAACATTTATTTTAAACACCAT